CAGGCTGTCGCCAGGAAGACATCCAACACAATAGAAAGATCTGGCTGGAACTGACATGAGATCGAAGGGTTTGAACAGTGAGCACACATTTATTTGATCCATGTGGAATGTTTGTACAGCAACCAGCGTCGTGTTCGATGCAGCGATGCAAGTCGAAGTGAATCACTCAAATATCTGTAGAGAGTTTTTTATATTACACTATAAATAAGAACTTCTGGATACATTATTGTTTGACACGAATCTTGTAGTTTACACAGTTGCGAACCTGTAAACGAATTTTGCACGTTTGTTTGAGAGAGTGCATCAGTTTCATATGTGCTAGTTATTTTTTTAACATTTTCTTTCCGATGCTTAATAAAGTTTTGCCGCTGCAGTTTCTACGGCGAAAGCTCAGTTGATTGACCAAGCTGTCAGTATGGCCGTATGCTTGTTCACAGAGATATGGCATGGTAGAAAAGTTGCGCGCATTCGACATGTATTTGTTTTTATACTTTTGAAGGTAATGCCATCATTTTTCAGTCAACTGTCGGCAGAAAGCTTGATACTAGTAGTGCTGAAAGCGGAGCATGATGAACTCAATTCTATTTTGAAAGAAACTATCATACTTGGGCAGCATACTTGCAAGCCTTCGTTATTAACCGCCACCAAAAATCTAAGTTCGACTAAGGAAGCAGGCGAAGGTAGAACAGGAAGTGAGTTCAGTTAGTTAGCGTTTGAATCACCATAAGTCAGTGCGCACAACAACTGATGAAAATATAACTATAAAGCACTAGTTTATCCAGCCAGTTATACTTTCTCTTGGCGCGGAACAAAACGTAGTCCGTTTCTGGCGAGGATATTCTTCAATAGCTGAATGCAAAGTATTTTAGGTAATTCATTGATTCTCAAGTTCTCTCAATCTCGCTAATAGCTTCGAAGCAGTTTCCCATTAAATTGATATAAACTTTAATGGATGGGTTTAATTCTGCGGCGATTAATCTCTTTCATTCAAGACTTTCTGCAAACTTGATCAGGTTATAACCATGCTTAAGACTAAATGAATCTGACGTTGTGACTTCGCGATTTGCAATGTTCTGATCAGTTTTACCGTGCGAGGCCCTAGTATTGTCGGTGTAATAAAAAAATATTAGTACTGTAGTGTATTGGTTATCAATTTTTTCCAGGAACCGACGTGTGAGACGAAAATAATTGTTTTCACCTCAGGCGAAATCGCCCAGCACAATCTGTGTGAGGCTACCGCGACTTTATTTAAGCATTCATTGAGTTGCATTTAACATTACTGTGTTTATTCCTGAATCTGACTGCATCTGCTTGTTGTGAAATTCTGCTAAACGTACAGCGATTAGAACTACTTTTCCTGCGAATCACTGACTATGAGTCGACTTCGGTTCGATGCAACTTGCCAGAATTGGTCACATAAATTTGTCTTTAAACATTCTAAAGAAATCGAATAGCAGTGAGCAATCCTGACGTACCACATGGTTATCATGGAGATATTTGTTATCGTTGCTACCGATGCTTATACGCCAGCACCGTCGCAGCAGTCACAAGATATAGAAAAAAGCCCCACATGTAGCCTTTGCTTCCAGAAGTTACCTGAAGCTGATAACAAAAACTTTTCTACAATGTAACAAAGTTACCTGTACATTTGCTCATCGAATCACCGTGCTAGATCATCAATTATCATTACGCTTTGCATCTTGATCATTGTCATTCTGCTATCTTGGAATCCAGCATATTCGTCAACAACCTCTGATTCTTAAATTTGTATAATATAACATGGCTTTGTCTAGCAGTCCTCTGAATAGATCTGCGGCTATGAGGGTATATCTTGCCAGCCGCTGAAAGATTGGTCTGTATTTGACCAGCCGTAGAACTTAACTGTTCATAAGAATACAAGCAGGTGAGACGACCCAAGTCCACGACAAAAGTCCCTTCCAACGACGGACTGGATCTTTCATACCTGTTCATCGAGTGCTGGAGCAAATCTCCGTTCACCAGCCGCTGTCATGACCAATCCTCGGGAACATAACTGCAACGAAATTAGCAAAGCCTACACGACCTGATCCATTTGTTTTCGTTTCTGATATCTGTGCCTTATCGAGGCTTTCCGCATCTTTTCTCCAAAATATCTATGAATTGAAGTTGAATTAAAAATCCTTGCATGTGTTGTGACGTTATTTGCGGTGTTTCAGGAAACGATCACTTCACCGTACCTCGGTCTAGAAGTTACGACGACGTGGCCAATTTTGCGAAATGTCGTCCGAGCAAAAAGCAACACTGTGCGCAGTTGAAGTCCGACAAAACTCGGCTGTCAGATTTCAATGTTGCCGACTGGGATTCATCGGCGAAAAGCAACGGCAACCTGTCGGTGTTTTGGAAGCAAGCAATTTACGCCGAGAAGCCGCAATTGGTGGCCGCTTCTCAAAGACCCAACGGTTTCACGAAACTTCAACATTCCGCGTCGTGGTCAGCGTGGGACAGCGTGGTACGTTGTATTCTGTCCGACTCTAATGGCCACGACGTGTGCCGCGCGGCTTCACCTCCAAGATATTTGCAAAGCAATCATATGCGGAACGGTGACGACAATTCTGACAGTATGCCAAGGAGGTCGATGTCGATGCACGAACGGCAGGTACGACGAAAAAGGGATCGCGATTTAGACAGACTCCCAGAAACGCGGGATTCACGACCAAATTTCACTGAACTGGACTCTGTGGTCGACAATATGGCGAAAAGCGGCGAGCGAACTCCTGATTTGGGAAAACCTCTGATCAGCGAGGCCGATGCCAGCAGAAGATTGGAACGGCTCAGAATCACTACATCTTCTTCTGCCAACCAACCGCATACTAAAGGAAACGTTGGTCAGCGTCCGTCATCGGGACTCACAGAGCGCACAGCCAGGGACATTGGCTTCCTGCCATTTTCCAGCACCAGGCATAAAAGTATTCCACGAGAATGGAGCATATCACATGAAAAGCTGGAACGACTGAAGCAGCTGTCAAACTCTCTATCTTGCTCAGTCGCCAGAAGAGTTTCGCAGTTCGATAACAAAACCATGTGGCAGCAGGCACAAAGTTTCGTCGCAAATGAGGAGATGAAGGTAGTTTGAACATCAGCAGTTAAAATGATTTAAGTAAACAAACGTTCATTCTAATGGACAGTTTCATGGCAACCATGAACAAGAACTTAATGCGTAATTGCCAGAGAAAGTTTGCTTCTGAGTTAATGAACTTGACAATTTGTCAAGCAGTTCAAATAAGCTTTGTAAGCAAAACGTGCAATAGATATGTCATTATCTGTTCACGGGGACTGTCGCTTATGACAAACGAAGAATCATCCTCATAAGACCCCCTGAAATGTTAAATTTTTTTATTATTTCAATTATTGTAACCACTGCTCGAATCATGGTCAGCCATTAAACAATCTAAGACCCAGGCGGAACAGCACGGTCGAAAGTAATGTTAAATTTGCGATTGAAATAGCAAAGCGTTTCTGTCCAAACTGCCGCAGACCTTCAGTTTGCTACCCAATTTCTACCAGCTTAATCAGACAGCACCAGCCATATTTTCGAAGAGTTATATTAGTTAGAGAATTTAGACTCTTTCTCTTCTGCAACTTAGTACCGATAACTTTGAAGGCCAATTAGTGTAGTATTCATGTGCAACTCTCTATGAATCTTTCTTCAGATACTTCGTAAGGCTGCTCTTTCATTCAAAATGGCGGGAACCATCACATTCTTGAGTATGAGCATTTCTTGAACACCACTCTCCAAGAGGGTCTGTACAAGATTTGAAATAATTGTAAAAGTTTCTTGCTTACAACAGAACACGATTTATTGAAAAGATGTATCGTTAACATCCGCCGCAGAATACAATAGATGCATTTGTTTCGATAAGTGTCCCATAAATCTTCCTCAGAGCATGTACCGGTTGCCTTCTCCCTGGTCAGGAGGCTTGTGGTCGAAGGGCCTGGTCACTCCAATGCAAATGGGCAACGATACAAGCACTCAAGCGATGGAAAAAAGCAGCCAGCCTGCGCCTAGAACAGAGTTGCACAGAGCGAAACCGCGGCATCCAATCAATTCTCTGGCATATGCGTTTATCGTGCGTTGTTAATAAGCCGTGTTTAGATCATTCCATATTTATGCCATCTAACCTTCGGACGGACTAGTTCTTTCATGTTCCGAAGTTCACAATAAGTGGTAATGAATCTACGGATCATATATCTTACGCATTATTAGGACAACCAAGCGTACAACAGAGATGGATATGCTTTATTGATAGTCAGCACTGGTATTTCATTCCTAGCATTGGTAAAATCATCAGGACTGAATAAAATAATTATTTATTCACTGCTGATGACATTACCAGTGATGGCAACGAAACGCGTCGACCAAACGCGATAAAGCTTTCCTATTTCTCCTTACGCTTGGGATTCGTAACGAGTCATCAGTGCAACAGTCCATTGAAGAATTACGATTATAAAACCAGTAACTTTCTAAAAATTCGAATAACAACTCTTTTCTGTCACTACTTCGCATTCCATAAATTTATGACTTGTCGGATTCGTTAAAAAGTACATAACTGTTCTTACTTTCATTTCCAATTTGGTGACAAATAAAACTAAACTGAGAAAAATACTATTAAAAAACGCCCGTTTGATAGGCATTCGTGCATGGTAATAATATTGATCCAACATTCTGTTTCTCCCAAGTCACAGTAATGATCCTTACTTAAACATTTTAAATCCGTGATGATCATTGAAATTTACAAGGAGTACGTACTATTCTCTGCTAAATTTTTCAGGGTAAGCAAAGCATCATTTTAATATAATTATTCTAAGATGCACACGTTATTAACAGTTAACTCATGGCTAAGTATCCCATTCCAAAACTTTCAGCGTTATATATGTTAACAAGTATTCTCGTTCTACTTTGGGGCTCAGTCAATGCCCGTTTTATCTAATAATTCAAAGAAGGCAGCGGCAGAGCATGGCGTCAGAAAATTCTTGGATTTTCCTCATCTTTCAGTATGTTACCTGCTTCGATAAATGAAGAAAAAGCATGGCGAAGACATTATCATTCATTTTCGTATTTCTGGCTGTCTATTTATGAAATATCATTATTCTTGCATCAATCAAAAATAGAATGGCTCCACTTATAGTCAATATAATGTAATTCCTTCACCGATGCAATCACTTACGGAAAAATCTCATAAGCGACTGTAAATAAATGTATGCATGCATAACAATGGAATACAATTTCGTGACTACTCGACAGGCCTGATTTTGTTTTAAGGGCGACAAAACAGGATCCAGCCGGATTAAGCCATGGGACGCAGTGCTACCAGCGAATGAACCACTGACCGATAGAAGGTTTCACG